TTTAGGACTAGTTTACTTGATCATATCCTATGTAAGCTCTTAAACTAATTTCTGCTCTTGTTATTCTTAGGAACTGCTCCAAATGCTCTGAGACAGCCGTACCTTTGGTTGACCATGATTTTATCCGTTGCTGTTTGCTTACTTCCTGCTGTTGCGCTGCGTTTCTTATCAATGACAGTTTGGCCTTCAGAAAGTGATAGAGTAAGTAAAGTCTTACAGTAGTTTGGTTAATTTGGTCTGTATTTACTTACAGGATCCAGTATTAGTTCAAATATTCAGAAACAAATAAGATAAGATAATTGTGCCCTATGGAAAATTACACCCAGACTGTAGAATTCGGCTCCTGTGACCAGGGAGAGTGGCAGCTGGGTTCTTCAAAAGTCAGACTTTTAATTGTGTAAAGACTGGTGCCAGGATATTTTGCCATCCAAAGTGGAGTGTTACTTCGATGAGTTCTCATCGCCCCGTATCCTCCTTAAGTGCTTGTGTCACGTAGAAGTATGTGTACAAGCTCAGCACACAGTTCAGTTAACTTGTCCTTTCTCTTGGCTTAGCACTTGCCTTTGTAAAACCACATGAGCCTACTTTCGTTTTTATTTGGACTACACTGGAGTTTCATTATTACGTATCAGGATATAGCGGACAGTTTTTGTTTTGCTTGTATTTCGCCTAGAGCTGACAAATTGTACGTGGGCGTAAAAATAGTTAGAATTGTGATAAAGTGTTGTGTAAAAAGAAAGAAGTTGCCAGGGTGAGAACACAACTGAAAGCTATTCCTATGTATCTTCAATCTACAGAATACCCCTTTAATGAAAGGCATTTAAAGATAAATGAAAATAATTATTGAAGTGCAAAAAAAGAACACAGTGAGTCCTTCTGAAACTTTGATGTGTTCCTGTATAGATTCTTGTTTCTAACACAATCAAATTTAAACAAGAAACCCTCTTGTGAAGCAGTTAATGCTGTAAAAAAGTATCAGGTTATTTCCCCAGACAGTAAATGCAAACAAGCTCTTTTCCCTTATAATCCAGTCTGTTGTACTGTATCTGTAATCTAATCTGTTTTTGCCCACACGAAGATTCAGAAGAACCGTAAGAAGTACATGGCAGAAGAACAACAATGGAAGCGAAGACAGAGTACTTTTCGACGAGGGATATCTGGACGTCGTTCTGCTTACGCTTTCTCCCATCAGCGGGGATACGCTGATCTTATTGCTTCTGGACGCAGCATACGCAAAAAGCGTGCTCCTTTAGATGCGGTTCTGTGCAACAGTGTGACAGAAGTCAGAGAAGCTCATGAAACAAGCTGATTTTTACTATGTTTTAGGAGAGAAGCTTTTTATTTGAATGATTGCACAAAAGAGGTGGTTTTTTTTTAAACAAACTCAGGATATTTTTTTAACCAAATGACATATGGATGTGAAGATTGTAAAGTTTTATCAGAAAACTTCTTGGTTTTGGACTACTGGAAACGTAGAAAGGCCAAGATTTTTCTACAGAGCTACTATTCCTTGTGCAACTATTTCTGTTCAATGTGAAACTGAAGGATATGCAATCTAGGGTATGAAAACCCAAAGTTGGAATTCTTTTTAGTGATGTCTGAAATTGCAAATTTTTCATATTTTAATAATGTATTGGAATAAAATTGCAGCTACATTTCATATCATGACTTTTGAAGTGAACTGCAGAGAGGCAGTTACCCTGCGTGCACCATTTACAGTGATAACGGCAAATTAGGTGATTTGTGTCTTTGGAGGAGGACCTAGATAGTCTCATCTGAGCTTGTACACCTGAGATTAAGATATATCTGGTGTTAAGCTTTAATCGGCATCAGATTTTGTTAGGTATTCTGACATTTATAGGTGTGGTTTCAGTTCATTTCTTTTTCTTCAATGGTTGACTACAACTTGCTGCACTACACTGGAAGAGATCTTTCTTTGCACCTTGTTAGTAAGAGTGGTAGGTATGGCATTACTCCTTCCATAGCTAATTCCTTGGTGATTCCTGGAATGGAGATCTGAGTCAACAGTTAACAGATTTTTTTTTTTCTCTGTCTGTCTCTGTCTGTCTGTCTTTTTCTAACTCTCTCGGATATGTTTGTGTCTACTTTCTTGTACAGTATTTTTATGAAGAGGTAATTCAATCTTTGGAAAGCTGCCCTTTGAACTGGCAAAAGTTTGTTCATTTCAGTTGTTTTAGATACAGCAATCAACAATAATAGTTCATTAGAAAACAGTTTGCTTTTTATATTGAACATATTTCACTTGCTAGTGAATAAATACTCTTCTTAGAGCGTAAAAAGTTTTTTATGACCGTCTCTACATTTGCACATATTTTCACTCTTCAAGTTGAGGTGTATGAATGCTTCACTCTTACCTACTTCTGACTCATGGAGTAAGGTCAAATACTGAACTATTTTTTATAGTAAAAACATGATATACAGTTCTTTTTCAATGGAAAATGTACATTTCAAAAATGTAATGGAAATAAATATCCTAAAGCTTACAGTTTCGCTTCTGATAAGTATATGGATAAGAATAGTACAGTTTGGGAGTGTGAGAGGGGCTTAAAAAGTAGAGATAGCTGTAATCCCTTTGAGATAAGTGGGGTTAGTAGTTTTTTAAAAAAGTATTGCAGTCCAAAACTGGGTGTGACACTGAAATACTGAATATGCAAATTGAGGTGGATATGTTCCTTTTATTTCTAATGAGACTTAATTAAAAAAAAACACTTGTCATAGATGATTGTTTTCATAACTTTTGGCTTCAATTAGTTATGAAAAGCAGAGCAGTTTATACCAGTTTCAGAGAATCACAGAATCACTGAGGTTGGCAGGGACCTATGGAGATCGTCTAGTCCAACCCCTCTGCACAAAGCAGGCTCAGCTAGACCAGGTTGCTCAGGACCGTGTCCGGTTGGTTTGTGAATATCTCCAAGGACGGAGGCTCTGCAGGCTCTCTGGCAATGCGCTCCAGTGTTTGACCACCCTCCCAGTAAAAAAAAAAAAAAAAGTTTGTTTGTTTGCTTTAATGTCTAAATGGAAGTTCCGTTATTTCAGTTTGTGTCCACTGCCTCTTGTCCTGTCACTGAGAACAGATTGGCTCTGTCTTTTCCTACTCTCCCCATCAGATATTTATACACATTGATATGTGTCCCCTGAGCCATTTCTTCTCCTGGCTGAAGGGTCCCAGCTCTGTCAGGCTCTCCTCCTCGTATGAGAGGTGCTCCAGGCCCTCAGTTGTCTTTGTGGCCTTTTGCTGGATTTGCTCCAGTAAATCCAAGTTTGTGTTGACAGATACCCCAGGATTTGAGAGACTGTTTACAATATAATAGCTTATTCAGGGAAACCACAGTTTCTCCTGGTATGAAAATTCAGCCCAGATGGTGCAGCAACCTGCAAACCAGCAACCTGCAGACACTGCATTTGTACGTATGCAGAGATGAATGGTCCTGTATCAAATAGCTGCAACTGAGAGCTACAAAAATACTTCCTTAAGAAAGCCTTTGGTTTTAAATGTTACAGTGAGAAGCAACTTGCTGGCTGCTTCTGCCTGCTGCTGTTCTGTCTTGCTAGCTTTTTCACTGGTTTTGAGTCTATGTTCATTACTGCAGTATATAGTTTGTAGGTTTTTTGTTTTCTCTCCGGAAGACAGCTATTCTAGCAGAAAGTCTGCCATTACATTTAGCCCATCAAAATAGTTGTAAATGAGAACCAACAGGTGAGTTTATGCTGATTCTAGATGCCATCTGGCCTGTGCAATAACTATTTACAAAAGCTAAGTAAGGTTAGGAATCTGCTTTAGCTAAGGTTTGATTGTTTGAAGGAATAGTGACCAAAAAGTCACCTAAAGACCAGACCAAAAGACTGGTATTCCTCAAAACAATCACTTAAGTCAGTTATCTAATGTGGCAATTCATTTTTATATTATTCACTCCTGCATTTTCGTGGTATACTGCATTCCTATTTCTGCTGCTGAAGGAAGGTATTATCTCATACCCGCCTAGCCCACAGAGGCCTGCAACGGTCTGTTATTCCAAAAACAAGGAGGTGGAAGGAAGTGTGAATAGAGTCCTGAACGCTTTTGGAACAGTTAGCTTACTAAAGCACTTACTGTTTCCTGCCTACTTTCCAAATATTTAAAGATGTCCCTCATTCAACAGTTGACAATGTCACAGGGTGTTTGCAAACAGAATCTGAGACGTGAGCTTTAATTTTATGAAAAGACAGAGCTTATGTGATCAAACACAACGTTGAGGTGAAGTGTCTGCAGTGGAACTACCATAAATGAATATTCCAAATACTCAGTGCCCTGCATCTCCAAGTGCAAGATGAGGATGTTACCTGAGAAGAACAGGTAGTATTGAAAAGGTGACAGTGCGTTTTAAACAGAATACTGAGGAGCGTGGTCTGTATTAGGAGATGGAAAGAGACTTTTTAATGAGAGAATCTTTCTTGTCATTATCTTGAGCTCGAGTCAGATTTGGCACATTTGGCAATGTCAGTACTTGATGAGAGAGAGCTCCGTGAAAGAAGGCACACTTGCTGGAAAAAGCTGACTGCATCAGGTACCTTCTCCCTTCAGGGTACCTTTGAACACGATAGAGTACTGAAGTGATTGCTCTTGCTCAAATTGCTGCATCTCATGTTGAGTTAAAACTCTTAGCCATTTACGTTAACTGAAGTGTACAGGTGGGTTAAGTCCTTTCTGCTTCATTAAATTCCTGAGAATTCAGGTAGGAGCAGATGTGGCATTCAAGGCCAAAACAGCCCTACTGGATTCACTTTTGCCATTCAGGCTCTGCAGGTATGCAAAGATGATGCTTTTTGTTCTATAGCAATATCCCTTTCCTTGGCAGGACAGATTCCTGTTCTTTCTGCCTCAACCCTCTTTCTCACCCGTCCCTCCAACAGCTGGTACCTGCTGTACTGCTGGGTAAAATCAAAGAATCACATAGTGGTACCTAGGAAAATTGACCCTTTTCATGCCAAATGTTACCGTGATGTCGCACCTCTTGTTCAACAAGACTCACCGTGAAAAGAGAACCCTATCTGCACTCACTCCCGACTGCAGCGATCAAGTCGAACTCTGGGTGCCCACAGCTAATTTGTTTGCATCCATAGTCCCCGGGGTGGGTACTGCTCATGCACTCCGTACTATCAGCAAACTCGCTTGCTGGATGGTGAAACAATCCAACGTGACGACTCAGGTCCTTAGTGAATTGGCACAGGATATGGAGAACCTGCAACATCAGGTCCTCCAGAATAGAACTGCCATTGATTTTTTGCTATTGGCACACGGCCATGGTTGTACGGAGTTCGAAGGTATGTGCTGCTTCAATCTATCCTCCAATTCTGAGTCTGTTCATAAGCAGCTGCAATGGCTCAAAGATCACACCAAGGACATTAAGGTCCTCAACAACCCATTGGACAGCTGGCTCACTTCTTTTGGCATTGGCCCCTGGCTCAAAACCTTGCTCATGTACGGCATAAATGTAGGACTTATGCTGCTGCTGCTTTTGCTGATATTACCTTGCTTAGTTTCCTACCTTCGCAAGCTGTTTTTGCGCTTACTTGCTAAAGTACAGATTAACTATGCCCTACTACAAGAAAGCGGGGGACGTGTGGAAGGTATTTTGGGAAGTCGGCTACGTGACGAGAGACATGAAGACACGGCTGCAAGAACTGCTTGGATGTAACTGTGTATCAGGAGGCAATGTGAAACGCGCCTGGGTCGCGTGGATTTGGGGAAGTGTCTGGTTGAGCGGATGTGGGGTTGAGGCTAGGTTTTGTATCAGCAAAAATGCCGGTACAAACAGGCTGACCGCATCTGGCTGTCGGGCATGATAAGTAACTAATGTTAGCAACCTATAAGGAGCTTGGCTGTTGCAATATGTATGAGCTAATTAACTCTATTATATAAGTCATGAAAATGTGCAAATAAACTGAGGCTTGTGATCATCATCGGATGAGCATGTCTCCCGTTGCTTCCGACAATCTAGTCCAACCTTCCTGCTCCCGGCGGAGCAACGAGGTGGGCAGGTCCTTTGCAGCGAGGACGGCTAAAACACAGCGAAGAAAACTGTGTCGGGCCCCGGGCGTTCGCATCGGCGTACCCGGCTGATACGCGCTGCCGAGACCTTGGAGAGCTGCAACAGCGCTGACGTGAATCAGGTATGCAGAGGCAAGCAGCGTATAACCTTTTTACCAGCTTCCTGCAAAAAAGGCAAGTTAAGGAGCTGGACCTCCAAAAAGAGCTTCCTGGTTTACTGGCCTACGGACACTCCCAGGGCTGCTTTCAACGTCCAGGCGGGTTTTGAATATCTCCAGGGAAGGAGACTCCACTACCTCTCTGGGCAACCTGGGCCAGTGCTCAGTCACCCTCCCAGTGAAGAAGTTTTTTCTCAGGTTCAGATGGAACTTCCTGTGGTTCAGTTTCTGCCCAGGGCCGGGCACCACAAAGAGACTGGCCTCATCCTCTTGACGCTCCCCCTTCAGATACTTGTACACGTTGATGAGATCCCCTCTCAATCTTCTCTTCTCCAGGCTGAACAGCCCCAGCTCCCTCCGCCTTTCTTCATAGGAGAGGTGCTCCAGTCCCCTCGTCATCTTTGTAGCCCTCCGCTGGACTCTCTCCAGCGGTGCCATGTCTCTCTTGTGCTGGGGAGCCCAGAAGTGGACACAGGTTGCTACGATTTATGGCCACTGAAAACCAAGACGTCTCTGTGAGAATCGGGTGCCGCCTTCCCCTCAAATGAGTCCGAAGACCTGATAAAGTGTGCCGAAAGTCTCACCAGGTTGCAGGTTAAGTGACTGAACTCCAGTGCGCCTTGGACAGCGATTCGGGTCGCTTCTCCTGAGTTAAGTCCCTCATAAGAGCTTGTCTGGGATCCGCAAGCGCTGCCAGGCGAGAACCCCGGGTTGTGCAGGCGGGTAAGGACAACACGCGGGGAAACGAAGGAAGCCTGGAGCCCCCTGCGGACCTCTAGGAGCCCGGCGGAGCCAGGTGGGTTACGGGCACTTACACAGGTTTCTGCACTAACGCAAAGATTGGAGATCAGGTGCAACAGAGGGACGGACTCTTT